CTGACTTTGTATAAATATTTTATATAAATTTACCTTAATTGCCTCGAAAAATCGTTTATACGTAGATACATAGTAAAGACTCAGGCAATACACTGATATCCCTGCAATTAAAATATGAAAAATTAATTTCACAGTGAACATGACACACGGGTGTCTCAGTTTAGAGACTATCGAGCATTACTTGCCTGTATACTATACCTCTTATATCTACCCGCAAATAGTTTTTAATTTTTTGTACAATACTGAGACATGTAAAGTTTTAATCATTCGCATAAGAACACGTCACCCAGTATTTTTTTTCAATGCATAATAAGGTTGGTATTTTGTGGACTGACTTCAGATAGCGTAAAATAATATTTAATTTTGCATCTTTTTGAATTTACTTAACACTTAAATGAGTGATGGATTTTCTTGGTGTATAATGTTTTTTGACGAATTAAATATAATATAGATTTTGTCAAATCGAGTGATGTACAATGGACAAAACTAAATATATAAAATAATATTATCATAGAAAAAAAAGCAATACATACTTTTCAAAGGTAACACAAACTTTCTTGCCACACGTATTTTATGTTTTAAGTTTGAATAAAAATTGTAACTTTGAATTCTTGTTTTGTCAAGAGACTTTGTAGATTGAAATAATAATCAGTGCCAATAAACGTCTATAATAATGATAGAAATGAGATTGATTGATTTGATTGGTTGATTTGTTTATTAAAATTTTAGGGGCTACGGGGCAGAATCTCTCAACTGTCCAGTTACACAGAAGAGCTACAAAATAAAAATAAAATAAATTAAATAGGAATAAACAAATTATTTTTAAAAATTTTCAAATTTTAATAAAATTATTATTTTACAATAATAAAGTACGCTACCTGCTGAATGATCATCTGAAAAATTTGTTCGCATTGGTTTGGTTGATCAAGAAAAGGATTGACAGTATCTACCAAATGGGCCACCAAGGAGTCGAATTTTCCAGGACTCAGTGTCAAAGTTCTCATTGCACTTTCCAATTGTATCAAACATGTAGGTAGATCAACAGGTCCAGTGTCCTGTCAAATTTTTCAATTATTAACACAAATATTACATCCAAACACCAAACTTTGGTTCAATATAATATATGTTTTAACACTACACCATACCAAACGTTTGTCTATGTAGTCTCCAGAACCTCCATCATATTGACCATAATCTTGATTATTAGAATACTGGTTGTAGTGCTGTTGATAGGACTGTCCCCGATACCCCGCATCTGAATATTGATGGTGATGGTAGTTTTGAGAAGAACCAGATTGCTGCCAGTGGCTCTGGTTTCTTTGAATGTTCATAGTTTGATGAACGTTTTGATCCTGGCGCGCTAGTTGGATACGATTTTGCACAGAAGATATAGGCCCGAATCCAGTACTCATCTGGGATGGCTAGGGTATTTTCATGCAAAGAATTAAAATTTTCTCTAGATACCAGATACATAAAGGCAAGTGAGAAATTGTTTAGTCACTTACAGGGGTGAATGCTTTTGGAACAAATTCAGCAGCATCAGCAGAAAGAACAGAGTTNGTTTCGCAACTTGAAAGAAAAATAATTCATATTTAGAAAAAAATAGTCAGAGCATTTAAATATTTTATTTCAAATACCGTACAACAAAATTTCAATACATAAAATTGGTCATCTTTTATCAATGGGGAAAGAAAAAATCTTTCTTAGCATTTTATTCTAAATAGTGACGAGTAAAAAATTTTTTTACCAAAAATAATGTACTTACTTCTTTCAAAGTGATGTGTAAAAATCCATGAAATAAATCATGCCCAAGTCTGTACGTACCTTGTACGTAAACGATATCAAAACCATCAATCCAAAATCTTACATGCAGAGCTGTAGCGAAACAATGCATGTATCATAATATACACTGTACATGTTTGCAGTGTACACGCACTGATCTCTCGATACATCGTATATAATTGTAAGGATCGTTTGCAACGCGATAAGTATTAAAACAGAAAATCGTACAGCATTCGTCGCTCATCACATTAACACTTTTGATATCGCACGTGATATTATGTGATTGTGATACGCGAAGCTCGGCCGGTTGTTTGAAATTACTTTTGTATCTGCGCGATAGTCAAAATTTGGCCTGGAAACAAAACGACTCGGTGGTGAAACAAAAATACATGTTCTTCGTTCGTTGCATAATGGTAAAAATAATAATTTAACCGGTGTCGACTGCGCACGACGCGGCAATCGGCCGTTTATGGAAAACAACTTTCACCAAACGTTTCACGATATGCACTCAGCGTTAACATTTAATCGTCATATGGTTTATTAAAGTCGCAACGACTGCGCGATGCAATTTGCTCAAAGAGGAAGTGTAAAAGCATACGCGCATAAAATTTTCTCTATTTCGATACATTTTCGACAAAATTTTCCAAATGGGTCGACACATTGTTATCCCTTGGAAGAAAAAAAAAAACAAACTTTCATAAAAGCACATATATATATATAGATGATGGTGCTATA